GGGACCAGTACTGTTTAATATCTTCATCAATGACACAGACACTGGGATCGAGTGCACCCTCAGCACGTTTGCAGAAGACACCAAGCTGAGTGGTGTGGTTGACACGCCTGAGGGACGGGATGCCACCCAGAGGGACCTGGACAAGCTTGAGGAGTGGGCCTATGTGAATCTCATGAGGTTCAACAAGGCCAAGTGCAGGGTCCTGCACCTGGGTCAGGGCAACCCCTGGTATCAGTACAGGCTGGGGGATGAAGGGACTGAGAGCGGCCCTACAGAGAAGGACTTGGGGGTACTGGTGGATGAAAAGCTGGACATGAGTCAACAACGTGCACTGGCAGCCCGGAAGGCCACCCGTATCCTGGGCTGCATCAAAAGAAGCGTGGCCAACAGGTCAAGGGAGGTGATTCTGCCCCTCTGCTCTGCTCTGGTGAGACCCCACCTGGAGTACTGCGTCCAGCTCTGGAGCCCTCAGCACAAGAAGGACACGGAACTGTTGGAGCAGGTGCAGAAGACGCCACAAAAGTGAGCAGAGGGATGGAACATCTCACCTATGAGGAAAGCTGAGCGTTGGGCTTGTTCAGCCTGGAGAAGAGAAGGCTGCGGGGACACCTGATTGCAGCCTTTCAGTACTTCAAGGGAGCCTATAAGAAAGATGGGACAAACAGCAGTTCCTGTTGCAAGAGGACAAGGGGTAATAGTTTTAAACCAAGAGAGGGTAGATTCAGACTAGATATAAGGCAGACATTTTTTTACCATGAGGGTGGTGAAACACTGGAAGAGGTTGCCCAGAGAGGTGGTAGATGTCCCATCCCTGGAAACATTCAAGGTCAGGCTGGAGGGGGCTCTGAGCAACCTGATCTGGTTGAAGATGTCCCTGCTCACTGCAGGGGGGTGGACTAGATGACCTCTAAAGGTCCCTTCCAACCCAAACCACTCAATGATTCTGTGACATTTACCACATAGTCCAAGTGACTGAGAACAGGATTGGGCGATGCCATCAAGACAAAATTATGAAAGCCCTTCAATCCAATAAGCATTCATTGGATGTGGAGTGTATTCACTGACATTTTACAATTCCAAATCTGTAAATATATCGCAATTATTAATGGCAGTTGTTAACATCCGCATTTTAATTAGCTGGCATGCTCTTAAGATCAGAACTGATGTATCATTTAATTTTGCATTAGGCCAGTAATCTTTATTTATACAATGTAAATTGAATTGCACTGAGAAATGATTGAACGGTCCCTAAAAAAATTATACTTGGAGTAGGTATTTTATATGAAACTTTAAAAATATAAAAATTAAATGTATCCCCCTCATTATTCTTTCCTGTCTCTTTTGCTGGGTGATGTGAAAATGAGGGCAGGGCTGTTGAGAACTAATTACCTTACATCCTTTTTTTCAGTTAACGTGACCCTTTGCGCTTTGGGGCTCAGTGCTGTGTTTCTGCACCTGGTGGTGTGTAGGAAAAGCTGGTGTTTCACCTCATCTGTAGCATTTTTTATTGTATCAAAATAAGAAAAAATACCCTAGAACTGGGCTTGTCCAGGTTTTAGAAGAATACTTCTCTGAGCAACAGTGAAGGCTCAAAGATTCTTGGAGCCAGACATTCCAACCGATGCTCCCATCATTTGTCCAGTCTGCTCTGCTCTTGGCTAAACAAATGCAGCTCCTAAAACCTTTCCCAAAGGTGATGCTTTTACATTTTCTCCAGTTCCTGTTGCTTTCTCATCTGTCTAAATCTTTCTTAGAACACGGTAAATAGACTCGATTCCAGTTCTCCAGAATGAGAAAAAGAGCAGAGTAGCTCTCCCATGTGCCTTACAAGCATGAGGCTTACCCCTCCTTGCAGTGTTTCATGCCATGCTGAGAAGTTTTCCATCTTTTGTTTTTGTGTGTGAGGTTTGCAGTATTTACGAGTGGCAATGTTTGCATCTGTCTAATGTAATAAGGCAACAACAGTGACTTCTGAAATATTTTCTATGGAAAAATACAAATGTCAATTTGACTGCATCTTCATTCAGCATCTAGCTTTTCTTTTTTTTAAAATAAGGATCAAAGTGGTGGCCAGAACGTCAAAATGTGCACCTGCTTTCTAGTTATTATACATACAGAATTTGTGCACATCTCCATGCATGTACTTGGACTTTGATTACTCAGTTTCTGTGTATGTCATTGACAGGGAAAGGTTTTTAAGAAGTCCTCCTCATTCTGGATGTGTCTAAAGGATTTTTTTAAATAGCCCAACTAAGGTACTCAAGGAGAAATTTTGGATTTTCCTTTTTTGGTGGCAGTGGGCAACCCCACTCCTTTTCAATCCAGTCTTCCAGAAAAATACACATGGCAGCAGTGGTACATAACCGGTGTGACTGACAGTGATTGATTAATTATTACTCAGTTGCTTCAGTCCCAAAAATGTGATTTTCATTTTAAGAATAAGCTACCCTGTGGAGTGTTTGCAGAAGGCATGCAGACAGCACAAGGAACCTCCATGGGTAAGCACAGTTTCAGTACAAATTTGTTAAGTACTTTTTAATTTTATGCACTTTGAGCCCTAGTGTGTGACCTTCTCTCCAACAATGTTACTGTGTCAAAGCAAGAACAAGCATTGGAACAGGCCGTGCCTGAGTTTTCAAGAAATATTGCTCCAAAGCCTGAAAGAGACTCATACGGAAATCATTTCCTCTTAATGCAGTTGATCTCTCTGGCTCTGGTAGGAGGGAAGAAGCAGTCAGACCGAGCTTTGAACTTCTCAGGCTTTTTTTCCCCTCTTAGTTTCTTTGCATGAAAATATCTCACGCAGACCTCCCTTTCATTTTTAAGAAGAGTATTTCAAACTTCGCTGCTTCTAAAGCTGTTCACAGAAAGAATAGTTCATTCCAGGACGTGGCTTTCTACCCTGTAAAAAGCAAGTTCCACCAGTTTTATATAACTAATGGTCAGTCTCCAGCCCTTCAGGTTCTAACTGAGTGCGCTAACCCCCTAATGCTGGAAGCTCTGTTCTGCAGCCTGGTTTAATGTGAAATGTTGCTGCTTGGTTTTGCAGATTCGAAACGTGGCAGCCAACCTCTGTGTGGACAGTAAACACGGAGCCACGGGGACTGAGCTGAGGCTAGACATCTGTGTGAAGGACGGCTCGGAACGGACGTGGTCACACGAACAGGTATTTTATCGGTGGAAAGAGAAATGCAGGGTAAAATTCTTGCTTCTCTTCCCCAGTTTCTAAACATTTCTCTGAGGGCTCCTCCTTTTCCTAAGGCAAAGCAGGTTGTAGAAATAACTTGTGAATGATTGCTGACCTTAATGGCCTTTACTAAGTTCTCTTTAACACAACCTCAGAAATTCCAACCACCACCTGGGCTGTGTATTCTTCTTAATTTCCAAAAAGGAATTGCAGTGCCCAAAGAGCTTTTGGGTGCCCCATTCTCCCCCACTGTGTCATGAAAACATGTTGATTTTGGTTCAGCTACCTGAAAATATTTTAAATATAGTACCTGGCCTTGTAAAGCTCTAGGTGTTGTCTGCTTCTGTGCTTTCATCTCAATAAGCTCAATAAGCGGTTGTATTTTAGATTAATAAGAGGTACAAGCAAGATAAATGGATAAAAGCTAGAAAGAAAGAGTTTCACAAAGACAAGGGATGATAAAGACTCAAAAAAGGTTTTATCTAGGTTGTTAGGTAGAAAAACATTAGCGCTCAGCAACACAGAGGAAAAGAGCTCTGATTTGTACTCATTGTGGCTGCGAGCGCCTTGGGAAAGGGATCGTGACCCGCGGGCTGCGGGTCTGGCTGACGTGAGGAAAGAGAATCTGGATGAAAAGTACAACCTAACCATTTACTAGCAATTTTAGTGAATGTGCCTTTCAGAGGGCAAGGTCCCAGATTAGAAAAACTTCCCGGTGCTGAGAAGAAAAATTGACCTGGCAGTCGCACATGGCACTTTGTAAAAGCTTAAAAGCTCAGGAGAGAGGAGTTCTGAGGGGGATTTGAAGTGCTGAGGTCAAGAAAGCATTCTCTGAGGATACTGAGAAAGGCGAGGGGAGAGGTGCAAGCGAGTGAAACGGAGAAGCTGAAGGATGATCACAATTTAGGTAAGTGCCAACATGGGAAAAAGAAAGTTGCTGAAAGAAGGCTTCTTCACATAGCTTTGAAAGACGTAGCACAGTGATAGGATGCCAAGACTAGATAAATATAATCCTGTTTTGTTTACGAAAGACAGCCGGTAATTCAAGCACTGAACTGAAGGAGGTTGTATGGGCCAGACTGGATCATCACAGTGCTCTCTGGCTGTAAAATCTGCAATCCTGAAGAGCTCCAAACCCTTCCCAAGAAGGGAGGGAGTCCTGAGGCTGCCAGAGATGAGAGAAAGGAGGGAAGAAAACTGGATGAAAAGGTGAGAGGAAAAAAAAAAATTTAGCAGGGAAAGCAGAGAAAAGGGAGACTTGAAATATGCTTTGAAAGAGTAAGTGCTTGTGAGGGAGGGGAAGGGAGGCAAAGGGAAGAAGGATGGGGAGGAATCCATGTTCAGTGTACTCCAGTGGGCTGCAACGTTCGGGATGAGACTCGATGTAACTGTCTCGTTCTATGCGAGTGACGAAAAGTGACGTCATGAAAGTAAACAGGGTTAGGCTGGCACGAACGGCCTGCGACCAACCCGCTCCTCAGGTGGCAGAAGCAGAGCTAGGAAGCCCCAGGCACGTCCGCGCTTGACGTGCGCTCCATGGGACGGGACGAATGATTTCTGCCGGCTGGTGCGGG